AAAATACTTACCAACTGTGCTTTGCATGTATTGCATGTGTATAAATAATATTATCTTTTTTACTGGCCAACGGGGCGACCTACTTGCAGAAAACCACTAGCCCAACCCCCGGGTGTCGGTCGATTTTCATTGCAGACCTCTGATTCAAAAAAGAACTATCAGTGCATTCATTATATATATATATTTTTTAACAAAAGCCGGTTTTCAATAGGTATGTGTTTATGTGGACTACAGATTTCCTTTCCTTGGCTTTAAATAAATTCTACAACTGCATAATGTACGTATGAAGCATGTCAAACAACTTACAAAACTTTTTTTCAATGTAGTGCAACAAAATAGTAAGACTTACCGCATTTGCTTTTTGTGTTTCCGAATTTCCTCAAAGCTATGCCAAATGCAGCTACTTCCGTATCCTGCGCATGCGCAGTTAGTTTTTAAATATATGCGCATGCTCAGGTATTCGGAACTCCTCGATTCAATTACCGAACTCCTCTAATCAGAAAAGAATTTAATATATTACTCAATAATGGTGTGAAGGGTTACTTCGTCATGAGATTTTTCGCAGAGTCTCCACATACCCTGTGATTCACTTCTAGATACAACAGCAGCTGACTGTGAGGAACATATGATGTCTGGAAAACCGTGCCAGGTGGAGTCTTCTCCTGGAAGGAACAGAGAAATATAAAAAACAAAGCTCACCAATGAATTTAGCTACTGTAGATCACTAAATTTTCGCGACACCTTACTTTCGCGAGATAGTCATTGACTCTTGATAAGCGAGACAAAATTTTCACGAATTCTGTTTATTGCTCTATATAATCTTAAGGAATTCTTTTATACGCGAGAATTTAATTTTCGCGAGCACACTGTCTCGCGTAATTACGCGAAAATAAAGTTCTCGCGAATAAAAAGTGATTTACAGTATCATCATAGCATAGATATGGACACCTGATAAGGCCATGCAAAATTAATTCCTTGGTTCTCAGGCCTTTTTTCAAGAAATATGATGAGGGAGGGAAGCATTTTTTAAGGTCTTCCGTCTTCAAGGAAGACCTTATAGTGATTCTACTGTTTCTTATTATTATTATTATTTTTCATTTTTATTTTTTTTACCTTTTCAAATCGCGTTTTCTCGAAAACTACTCAATGAATTTCAGCCAAATTTTCAGGAAATATGTGTTGTACCATGCCATTTTGAAATATGAAAAGAAATTGGAAAAATTCACTTCCGGCCAGGAATTATTGCAAAATTTCATTTTTTCCACTAAAAATCTATTCCATGAATGTTCTTAGAAACTATAAAAGGTAGGATTCTCAAACTTTCAGATATGATAGAGGATGGTTTGTAGATGTGTGATAAGAACATTTCGTGTGTCGTCGCCACTTCCGGTCGTCACAGGAACTGATTGAAAAAGGGCAATTTTTTTAACTTTTTTGTTTTTTGACATTTTTCATTGATATTAATAAGAATAATAGAGACATATTTGAGAATGATAAATATGTAATTTGATTTAGAATCGGAAATTCCTACCTTGAGATATTCGCATTTAAAAATTTGAAGTGGTGGTCCCCAATGGCGCAATGGTAAGCGCGTTGGATTTCCACGCTTGCGACCCGGGTTCCATCCCCCATATGTCCGAAATTTTTTTTATCACTTTTTCATTTCGATTTCACGTTTTTCTTTCAGAATCGGACGGAAGACCTCTCGTTGCTCGCAACGAGTTTCTTTTCTACTTTTTTTACTTTTTATTGCCCCCAAAACATGACGAGGCAGCTTTTTACATTATACAAAACCTCAAAAAATGATGAGGGAGGTGATTTGGTGTTTATATTTTATTGATTTAGCAATAAAAAGGGTCAATGAGGCACCCTTGGAAGAGATGAGGGAGGGCCTGAAAACCAAGAAATTAGTTTTTTTTGGGCCTAAATGGGGAGTTTTGTTAATTAAAGTTTCAAGTCCCATTTAAAAATGTGATCATCTCATTATCATGCACGATTATATATATTTTTAAACTTGATAATGTTTTATTTTTCAATTTTATGATTGAGGCTTTATAAGCAGTAAAAAAAATTATGCAACAGAGAGATTTAGAAACTGATGCTGCTTATGACCATTTAGATATAACAGACATTACATTTATGCTTATTTTTAAAGTATTCTGACCAAGCACCATACAGTAGTAGAATAGTTCATTTTACCTTAAATTAATATTTCTGAATATCTATACACTCATTCTAACTAGTATTTTCTCTTAAACAAAATCTGATCCATCAAACTGCCGTACACTTTTTACAGATAAATACAATATATGTACCTATCCCTGTGCTCTCAAATATTGGTGTTCTTTTACAATGATCCAGACCACACTGACATTTTCCTGCCTCGACTTTCACTTTTAATTGCTCATTAATTACACAAGACTGTCCTGGTGCTAGTCTCCTCAATAAATGTTCAGCCAGAGCGAGGGTCAATTCATCTGTTTCCTGACTCCTCTCCTCTGTCGATTCAAGTCCTCCCAAAACTTGACTAAGACTTAGTTCATGACATTCTGAAAAAAGTAAAAAGAGGATTACATTTAAGATACGATTGTATATTGTATATTGTTTTTATCGTCCCTCTCAAGAATTTTTCACTCATATGGAGACGTCACCGAATGCCGGTGAAGGGCTTCAAATTTTGACCTTTACTCGGCACTCAGGGCCATTGAGCAGTGAGGGATCTTTAACATGCCAACACCTGCTGCTGACATGGGGCCTCGGTTTTAAAGGACTCATCCGAAGGACCCGCAACTTTCACTTCAAAGTGCAGAGCGCATGGCAAAGGAACAGTTGCTAACCATTTTTTATCGACTTAGGTCAGTCGTGGCCGAGATTCGAACTCACGACCTACCATTCACGAAGCGAGTGCTCTACCGACTGAGCTACCATGAACGGTATTTAAGATACGAAAAACTTGGCTTGTGAAAAGACGAAGTTTGGTAATGGCTAATATCACATCCCAAATAAGCCAGTAAGTTATAAAAATCATTAAAAATATTTTTGTTTGTCATGTTATACCATCAGAATTAAAGGATTTAAGAAAATAATGACAAATAAACACGTCAAAGACTTTGAAAGAAAATAAGGTCTTTTTGTGATGTCTTCTCAGACTCTGTCTCTTTGTCATGTTCAATGATGTAATATGTAGAACCTACAGGCAATTGTTTCGGTAATAAATTTTTAACCCATTGTATAGTAATGGGAGAGAGGAAAAATGCAGCAGCCAGGTCGAACCCAAGTCCCCTGGATCTCTACTGACTAAGCTGTCTGGTCACTAGCGACTGAACAAGTGTGACTGCCACGGTTGAGTATAATAATATTGTACTAATGGGTTAAATATTTATTACCGAAACTGGTGCCTGTGGTAGGAATATATTTTAAATAATACTTAAAATTTAGCAACATTTAATCATTTTTCTCTCTTAAAAAAAAAAAACTAACAGGAAACCTCTGATAATATTCAATGTGACCCCACAGAGAAAGAATGATATACCTTTCTCTTTAAAATAATTATCAAGTATGTCAACCGCTCTTTGCTCGTCCTCATTCAGTTCCCGCGATTGATCTCTCAGGTCCAGCAATAGATCGATCCCTTTTGTGAAGACATCGTCGAAGTCGATCATGTACAGAGAAGAGCTCCCTGCTGGGCCCACTTTCCTGAAGTCGCACCTGACATCCGGAAACAAGGCACTCGTACTCGCATTACAGTCTGGTCCAAGTTGCAGAATAGCAAACGCTGGATAAACTAATTGTGTTGATGCTAAATTGAAGACAGTTTCCCATTCTGGTGACCTGTCATACCTGTTTTGTAGCCTGATCTTTTTCTGTTTTGGCGATTCTGCCGCCATGCTTTTTTCATTGTTGTTAACTCGGCCCAAAAATTATTCTCGAACATGCAACTGGCCAATCTCTCACAAGAGGGCACGCTCCGCTTACCGTGTTGGAGCGATGAGCGTAAAACGCCCTCTGGTGAGAGATTGGCAACTGGCATGCATAATTTGTGCATGTTGTGTAGCAAATGCTAGTTACTGCATTTCAAAGCAATTTTTTTTTCATTTTTTTTATGCCTCTAACTTAGCATCGTTTTTGAAAGTGGGGGGGGGGGGGGGGGCAACCCGAGAAAATTATTTTTACTTACCTTAAAAAAATTGTCAAGCAAAAAAAAAAAAAAAAAGAAAAATTAAAAATTGCCCAAACTTGAAAATCCTATTTCGTAGGGGGTGGGGGGTAGTGGCCAACTTTTTTAAGGCCAACTTCCTTTCAATTTCAATTTTTTTCCTATATTTCTTTGCTATGAATATACGGTGATTATAAAGTGGGGGGGACAACCATCTCTTCAATGGACATTTTCTATAGTAAAGATAATGTTGGGGAAAAAAGTGGGGGGCCAGCCCCCCCCCCCCCTGTTGCTACGTGCCTGAATTTTATGAAGTTTTCAATTGATAGGCTCTCTTTATGTTTCTAGACAAAGTTTCCATACCTTTTTTAAATGTAAGTGCATTATAGATTTTTTATATGAACAGAACATTAAGAACTTTACATATATTTTTGATTAAATATTACCTTGATTACAGTTACTAATTCATTTGAAAACATATAACTGATTTGGGTCCATTAATACATTTAAGAAGTATGCAGATATGATATTAGAATGAGGACTGAATTCATAATGAATAGATTTAGATTTGACCTAGCAGTTACACCAGTTACTCAAACATGCGTTTAAGAAATATTTTTTTAAATATCAAAATAAAACAAAAAAATTTCTTTCCAATTAGATATGGATGCCAATGAACACCTACATCCAGAGTTTTGCACTTTTGATCATTCAAAACGGTATATATTTCTAACAAAATACTGAAACATGTACAACTTCAATTCAAACATTTCAAAAGGCCAGTTTTGTGTTGACCCAGTACAGTCTGCTTTCATTGGCTGATTTGACTTGTTTACTGTTCTTGCAAACTTCCTGCAAACATTCAAATCATGCAATGTTTCCTGCGAACTTGCTGCGAACATTATATTGGTGTGTACATATGTTTTTTGCAATGTTCCTGCAAACATTTTGGGTTCCTGCGAATTTGCTGCAAGCTTGCAGCAATTGCTGCAATGTTTGCTGCAAGATCGCAGCTATAGCGGCAATCATCTGCGAACAAGAAAATTTTCTTCCTGCGAACAATTTTGTTAGCTGCAAGCTTGCAGCAGACTTGCTGCAGGCCTGCAGCAAACATATCAGTGAAACGGATATGGTTGTTTAGTTTCGTATTACACTAAAAGTATTAATTTTACGATCACACAAGTAGTATGAATCTGCCATTGTACAATAAACTGCTCTGAAGTAATACACGCTGTATAAGTGTATTGAAACCTCTCTGGAGACGGTGTTAGCTACATATTTCAGATGTTTGTCGTCTTAAACATTGTAGTAAGACCTGAATAAGGCATACAGTTGCGGAGGGCATATATATAGATGAGGATTACGATAGCCATAACGTAAGACCTGAATAAGGCAGGTTATACATTGAGAGAGGTGGCATACCACGAATAGAGTTGGGGGAAGTGCTAAGAGGCAGTGCAATCGTATTGGCAGGACAAGAAGAAATTTGTTTGTGGGAGACACCCGTTGACCACAGCTAGGGGTTATCCAATCAAGAAGAAACCCGTTGATCCATTGTATTATTTTATTGTAACTATATATTTGATTGTAATTTTATTTGGTCAACAAAAATCTGAGTTAACAGGTTAACGAACCCGAGTGTAACGCCTCGGTGATGCAAGACTTATCACCAAACACCAAGCTCGGCCACGTTGCACGTTACATCAGTTTGGTAAGGGGGGATCTCACAATAATAACAAAATTCGGAGGATTTGGGAATTTCGAAACTGTTAAAAAGAGTAACGACCAAGAGTAAATCAGAAGAAGGGGTATCTCCTTAAAAACAAAACATTTAATTAATTTCTTCATTTCGTTGCAGGCAAATAATATTGGTAGCATTTTTGGACGCGGGAAAAAAGGGGGCCACATACGACAAAGGAATAAACTTAAGAATGGTCTTGGATACCATTTCTTGGTATTCGGATTTATAGAATTATTACTGAAAGTTATTATTTTAAAATACATGTATAACTTTTAGTGTAAAATATGGTGTCCGGATAGGGCCATATTTGCGTTAGCACGACATCGCGTTCAGATAAACGAGACATCGCACTAAACACAACACGCTGTCGAGCTAACGCAACTTTGTACAACACGCCGTCGCGCTAACACACAACACACCGTCGCGCTCACACACAACACACCGTCGCAATACCATAACTTTGCACAACACGCTGTCGCGCTAGCGCAACTTTGCACAACGCACTGTCGCGCTAACACACAACACGCCATCGCGCTAACACACAACACGCCGTCACGCTAACGCAACTTTGCACAACGTGCCGTCGCGCTAACACAACTTTGCTTGTGTGTTAGCACGACGCGCGTTGTGCAAAGTTCTTACACACAAGCAAAGTTGTGTTAGCGCGACGGCACGTTGTGTGTTTGCGCGACGGCACGCTTTTAAAGTTGCGTTAGCGTGACGGCTTGTTGTGTGTTAGCGCAACGGCGTGTTATGCAAAGTTGCGTTTGTGCGACGGCGTGTTGTGTGTTAGCGCGATGCCCTGTTTATCTGAACGCGATGTTACGTTGCGCTAACGCAAATGGCCCTATTCGGACACCATATAGTAAAAATATCTAGTATTATCTTTCGTTGTTTCTTTTTACCATTTAGGAAATTAAAGAGACATTACAGCTCAATTTCCACATTTATGGAGAGTGTTTATTCAATCACTATTTGATTAAATGGTGAAAATGATATCGATGCTGAAAATTTGAAGCATGTAAGATCATTAATGATCTCTACACCTGGTATTGAAGAACAGCCAGAAGTACCTTTGTTGTTTTTATAGGACCGTCAAAAACTATTACACACAGCAAATTTTTAACGGTTAAACCAGATTTATTTCCTTTTAAAACCTGTAATTTTCGGAAAGGTCATACCTTCAACTTTGCTAGAAAATTAAAGAAAGTTGCGGTAAAATTTTTTGTTTCATTATTTTTGCGTAAAATGAGCTGTACATGCATTCTCAATTTATAGTCTCAATTCGCTTTAAAAAA